GAAAGATTCAGCTTCTCTTCCGACTTTTGGACGCAGAGCATATGGAATAACTCTGGGCTGACAAAACTTGGGTTTGTGTTCAGGTTTCAATGTTATTTTAGCTTTAATGCTCTTAATTTCTCCCATTTGTTTAGAGAAAACAGCGGCATGTTTCTGCAGAACAGCTTCTAGCATCTTCAATTTGACTGTTTTTATTTCTTTCCAGTTCAGTTTAATCTGACGCAGCCATTCTCTGCCATAGAGTGGTGGATAATCCCCATGCACGACATACAATGGAAGAACAGCTGTCTGTTTGCCCATTTTTACATGAATCTGGGCTGACAAAACTTGGGTTTGTGTTCAGGTTTCAATGTTATTTTAGCTTTAATGCTCTTAATTTCTCCCATTTGTTTAGAGAAAACAGCGGCATGTTTCTGCAGAACAGCTTCTAGCATCTTCAATTTGACTGTTTTTATTTCTTTCCAGTTCAGTTTAATCTGACGCAGCCATTCTCTGCCATAGAGTTGTGGATAATTCTCAACATACAATGGAAGAATAGCTGTCTGTTTGCCCATTTTTACATGAATATCAATTACACCTTCAGGGTGTAATGCTTGTCTTGTGTATGTTCGAAGAACAATGTCCGTTGAGCATAACATAAGGGCAGGTGTTTCAATATTCTCAGTGGTGAACAGTAACGGAGTAGCTTTACTTGGAGTCGTTTTATTTTGAGTAACTTTTACTTTTACTTCACTACATTCCAAAGCATAAGATCGTACTTTTTACTTCACTACATTTCATAAAACATATAGTTACTCCTTATAATATATAGGGTTGGGTACCGAAACCCGGTACCAATATGGCACCGGTACCCATGTAACCGGTATGACCTAGAACCTTAGTGCGAGTCTCCTGTGAACTGAATTCACAAGTAAGAACCGCGCGCGCGACTGATGCTGCTAAAAGTAAGTTACTAATGTCGCATTTTAGGATTAATTATTATCAAAATCATATTCAGTTGTTTGTGAACTAAATCTGCTGTAAAGGGTGATCTATTTAAGCCCACTGAAATGCTTGAATGCAGA